TTATTATTATTATTATTATTATTATTATTATTATTATTATTATTATTATTATTATTATTATTTTATTATTATTATTATTATTATTATTATTATTATTATTATTATTATTATTATTATTATTATTATTATTATTATTATTATTATTATTATTATTATTATTATTATTATTATTATTATTATTATTATTATTATTATTATTATTATTATTATTATTATTATTATTATTATTATTATTATTATTATTATTATTATTATTATTATTATTATTATTATTATTATTATTATTATTATTATTATTATTATTATTATTATTATTATTATTATTATTATTATTATTATTATTATTATTATTATTATTATTATTATATATACTTTAATTTTAATATTGTTATTTTCAGTTACAACAAAATTATTCAATGGAATGTGTATTTATGGAAGAAATGCTAGAGAATTATTATAATTTATATTCCTCGTGTACATACGGTACACCAAAGAAACCATGGTATATTTCATTAAGAAAAACGGGCCGACCTCGTAGAGGTACTAATTACTGATATTAACATTTCCTTTTTTCTTTTTTAAGATTTTATGCATTAAAAAAAATGGATTTCTGCTTTTATTATGTATGCATTACAATGGAAAGATTCTAATAAAATAGATAAGAAGTTTAATTAGGAAATTTTAATTTGTGGTTTTCTTTTTCTTTATTAGTGCTCAAGAATTTTAAATTGTTTTCTTGATTTCTGAAAATTTTTTTGAACCTAATTTTATTTTATTCTTCTGGAAATAAATGATCGTTGTTTGGCCACTCTTACTGTCATTGCTATTGGTAATACTATGTTATTAATGTACTGTTTCAATTATACAATTATTACTATTATTTTTGTTATTATTATTACTATTATCATCATTATAACAATTATTATTGCTAATTAATTAATCAATTAATTAATTAATTAATTAGCAATAAATTAATTAGTTAGCAATAATAACTAATTAACTAATTAATTACTGTTACATTTAGGAAATGACTTTCCAAAAAGTGCTATGAATTACTAAGGTCATGCAAACTTAAATTATGTCCATAGTTTAAATTATGTCCATGCTTGCTGCTTTTCGTCTTAACAAATTTTAGTATTATGGTTTTAACAATTCGGGATTTTAAAAGCATATAAGCATTAGCTCATTTTGTATGCCTTTAATTATCACGCATGAAGTCTTTGTAAACTACTGTTCGCTTGATCTGCTACTATTATCATCATTTTTATCATTTTATCAATTATTATATTATTACTATATCCGATGATTAATTGGATGATAATCGTTGTAATGAGACTAATAATTATATCTTTTCATTTATAGGTAAATATTCTCGTAAACGTCGGAAATCATCACATTTTCTTGTTGTACACTTTGACGATGATCATGACAATAGCAAACCAAGTGGTTATTCATATTCCGGTGATGATGGTTCCATTCATTTTTCTAAAGCACGAATCATCCAACCTAATCGTTATGGTAAATCAAGCTCTTTTTTCTTTTCTCCTTTATCAATTATAGCTTTCATTGTGAAACCCAGAATTAACCTAAAATTAATTTTATCGTCAAAAAAGGAAATTTTAAAAAGATTATCAAGAAGTGCTATTAATACCAATGGATACCAATTATTGCTCATTCTACTGATAAGTTCATGATAAAATATAAATTATATTTTATAGATTATCTAACACACTATGCTCCTGATCATGATAAGCCACCACTTCCGAAAAGTTTGGACGATATTTTACCGGGTACACTGCAACAGCATCCACCAAAGATACCACTTATTAGACAATATTCTCCAATTGAAATGGCGCGATGGGTTGTCAATCAGCGGCGTACAAATGGTGGAAATCGTAAAATGTCACGTGAAGAAAGAAATGATATTCGAAGGTAATTAATTAATTACCAATGATAAAATCAATAATGCTTAATAGTATATATATGTATATTGCTAAAATTTGATGTAATAATGAAAGATAAGGAAAGTTTATTGATTTCCTTCTTTTTTCTCTCTCTTTTAACCCATTTCAATGATAGGAGAAGACGAAGGAAAAGCCGTCTGGAGCGGGAGGAAAGGCAACGACAACGACGACGGCAAGAGCTCGAATTGAAACGTACCAATGCGTACCAGTCGCAATTGTGGCAAAGTAGGCAACAAGACTGAAAACTGCAAACGAAAGACAAGATTAATAGAATTACGGTATCTCTCAGACGAAAAAAAAAAAATCAAGCGGGAGAAGTTGAGATTCTTGAGGAGAACATTGTCGCTTAACGATAGACAAGGCTACATGAATATGAGATCCAGAGTGCAGAGTTACTACTATTACTATCATTATTTATTATCATTATTTATCAGGTGCTTATTTTTATCTTTGTTTTTTCCCTTAATTTAATAATGGATATGAAATTTCCTGTAAAACGAGTATTGACTTCTTTCTTTTTCTTTTTTTTTTTAAGAATTTAATTACATTAAGAATACCTTAATCCATTGACATTTTTTGTTGACAAATTTAGCTAATTCATCATGCTAAAAGTACAGTAAATGCTTTGTTATTCCATTATTTTCCCAACATTTTTTGATTC